TTGAGACAGGGTCTCCCTGTAGCCCCAGCTGTCCTGGATTCACTAAGGAGATCAGGCTGGCCTCGAACTCACAGACATCCACCTGCCTCTGCCTCCCGAATGCTGGGAATAAAGGTGTGCACCACCACGCCTGACTCTGATCTTTTTTTTTTTAAATTAAGTAATTAAAAAAATATTTTATTTTTATTTTATATGTATTGAGTATATTGCCTACATGTATATGAGTGCACCTGTGTTGTGCAATGCCTCCGAGGTCAGAATAGGGCTTTGAATTCCCCTGGAACTGAGTTAAGGATGGTTTGTAGCCACCATGTGGGTGCTGGGAATTGAACCCCGGTCCTCTGCAAGAGCAGTCAGTACTCTTAACCGCTGAGCCATCTCTCCAACCCCCTAATTAAGTAATTTTTATGTCTATGTGTGTTGTAAGTGTACCCATTTGTGCAATGCTTGCAGAGGCCAGAAGAGGGCGTCAGAGCCTCTGAAATTGGAGTTACAGATGATTGTTAGTTGCCATGTGGGTGCTGGAAACCAAACCCAGTTTCTCTTCAAAAACAGCCAGGGCTCTTAACCACTGGGCCATCTCTCCAGCCCCTGTTCCTGGCCTTTTTAAGTTACCCAGAACTGGCTTGACTGCTTAGCCAAGTATTTGATTGAGACAGGAAGTAGACCTTTTGGGATGAACCATTAACAAAATTGTGGTGGCCAAGTAAAATTTGGTCCTTTCCAATATAGGAATGTGTTATATGGCATTCTCTGAGTTTCTTTGTTCTTTTTCCTTTCTTTCCTTTTCTTTCTTTTCTTTCAGGCTGGTCTTGAAGTCCTGAGCTCAAGTAACCCTGGACTACAAAGTGAGATCCTATCTCAGACCGAAAAAAAAAAAAAAAAAAAAGAAGAAGAGAAACCAAAAAAGGAAAATTCAAGGTGGCTATAGCTTTGAAACGTAATATTAAAAAATATAGCCAGACATGGTGTCACACACCTGTAATCCCAGTGTTCAGGAGGCAGAAACAGGCAGATCTCTCTGAGATTGAGGCCCACCTGGTCTACATAGTAGGTTCCAAGCCAGCTGGGGAATATAGGGAGACCCTGTCTCAAAAAACAAAACAAAACAACAAAACAAAACAAAAATTTGTGAAGGATCTTTTCTGCATTCCCTGCCTAGGATTTGTTCCTTGTTCTAGTAACAGCCCTCGATGTTCCTTGGAGGAGCTCTCATTCCCTCTCTTTATTTTATGTGGCTCAAGTCAAGCCTACCACGTCTTATGGCTGAAGATGGAGTAAGTACCTAACCCAGACCTGGCCTTGTTTAAAACCAACATGTGACCCAAATCAAACCATTGAGAGGCAGCATGAGATTTCCATGTAGGTTGATCTGTTTGTAGCAAGTGAGCCTGAAGTATTAGCAGACATTTTTAAAATTGATTTTGTGTGTGTGTGTATTTCATACAGAACATCCCAAACAATCTTATTCGTCTTTATATCAGCATCCCAAATGGCACCCTCCCATAACCTCCTCCTCCCACCCCTCTGCAGTCATTTTTAAGTACAGATAGAGGACCTACTTGAGGATAAATATAAGAGATTAAAAGCAGAGGCAGAGGGTTGCAGGGTCTAGCTCAGTGGCAGAGCACTTAACTAGTATGTTTAAGGCTCTGGGCTTTTTCCCAGCACTGCTAACCAAAACCAAACAAAAATCTTAACAGTAAATAGGAATTTTGAGTGGCAGCATTTGAAAGCCCGAGTCTAGAGACCCCTGAAGTCAGAACCACCACCTCTACCTTGCAGTTACGTTGAATGGGAAGTTTCCCCTTTTTGACTAGGCCAATTTTGTCCTAACTGATTCAAGAGTTCTGAGGCAAGGACGTTTCTGAAAGAAAAACAAGGTAACCCCTTTATGACTCACTGTGTAAATCAGTAGCTTAAGGATAAGAAAATAATGGCCTTAGGTACAGGGTGAGGACCACAGGAGTTGAGTCAGGTGGCCTCAGATCCCATCTGGGCTGCTGCATATAGCACGCTCAGCCTCTCTGAATCTTGACTGTCATAGTTCTTTAGGGGAGGGTAGGTACTGCCACTGACTGGCAGATTCATTGAGATGGTGGAATGGAAAGCTGCAGGAAGCAGAGCCTTGTCACTGCTCAACTTATAGGAGGTTACAGAAGAGCTTTTTCACCTGACTACACTCTCAGCAATTGGGACACATCTATCCTCTCTTCCCCTGAACACCTGGTTCTCTTTCATTGCCTGCTTTGGACCAGAGCAGAAAGGCACTCTCTGTCCTTCTGGCTTCTGTCTTTACAAGCTGGGCTGAGGGCACACAGAATGAAGAATCACGAAGGTCCTGCTCTCAAGTGTCTGATACACATGGACACAGAGAGACTCACTTCCTTTTCAGATTTCTATTTTTCTTCAAGACAAGTCTATGTAACTTAGACTGGCTCTGAACTCTCAGTTCTCCTGCTCCAGCTTCCCAAGTGAGTTAACAGGCCTGTGTCATACCCAGCTCTGTTCCTAGTTAGCAGAAACTTGGGACATAGATTTCAAGAGGCTGCAGACCTTCCTGTTCAAAGGGAACTTGGTGGGATCCAAAGGTACCCAGCCTACCATCCTCCAGGTCTTGGTGGAACTGA